ATGAACACAATTAGCTGCTTCCCAAGTCTTGACCATTTTTAGTACATTTGCTTGTCTCTCTTCTACTTTTTTGTTAGTTTCCTTTATTTTGACACCTTTACTCACATAGACCATTGAATCTGAGTGAACAAAAATGCTAATTGAAATGCGTGCCATCTGTGGTGGCCGAATTTGAGGACGTGTTTCAATTTCTGAAATGGAATACTTGCAACATTCTCTCTTCGTTTGCAAAATCACCTCTTTCTGGTCTTTTCCTGGGTCTTTTTGGAAATAAATACTTTGAAATGTATTCAGACCATCAGCTGCTTTTGTCTGGGGAAATCATATAGTCAGTGTAGAGATCTAATTTCTTTCTTAGCTCGAGCAAGTGCCATTTAATAGGACACATTTCAACTTACCATACTTTAAAGACTGTACTTCCATGATGAGTGTTATTTGACAATCTTCTGTTACTCAATTTCCCACAAAAACTAGTTTTTGAAGAATAAGGCCAAGTATACTAATGGAACCATGTGGCAGAAGCAGGGGGACTGAGCAGCTGAGGCTGGAAGACAGAGTGGAAATTTTGAACACTCACAATATCTGGGTTGTGGCTGGGCCAGGTAGGGGGCAAGAGAAAAGAGGGGTGGAAAGTTGATAGAGGAAAGAATCCAAAAGAGTAATGAGGATTTGACAATTGAGTAAAGGTCAAGGGAAAAAATAAGGATGAATCAAATAAATCAGGAGAAAAAAATGCAAAAAGAAGAAAAAGCAGAAAGAATAAAGGTCAACAACAGTGGATGAATGGAAAGGGAAGGAGCAGAGCAAGGCTAAGGACTGGAAATAACATGAAGTGTAGAAATAAAACAAAGTACACGAGGGAAATAAAGAAATGCCATTCCAGGAAGTTTCTGCCTGAATACTCAATGACTCATTAGGTCAAAACACCAGCATAAATTGCATACTGATGGGTGTGGGCAGGTCTCCTGTGGGTGACCAGCCTTGACCATTGCTTCCACACGAACTCACATTTTAAAGCCTCCATGCAAAAACTAAACAATCATAACCTATGGATTCCTAGAAATTGTTTCACCTTCTGTCCATAAAGTTTAATAAAAGGACACAAGAGCCTCAAAAAAATACAGTGCAGTGGAAGGACAATGGTCCTGGACACAAAATGCTGGCTGTGGGGCCCTGAGGTCCCCAAAGGATTTTTAGTTATGGAAAGTTTTCTGCTAAGAAAGCCAGAAGCCAATATCTAGAACCCATAAGGTGGAGTTATCCTATCTGGATCGCTGGGTAGGGTGCCTGTCTTTCATCTTCCAATGCCTCTTTTCCCTGGGGCATCTCTGCAGAACTCTTGCATCAGAGGGTAGATCATCCAGCCCCCATCTCCCTTATTTGGGGCATTTTCTTTTTCTCTACCATGGTCCACACGCAGGAAACCTGAATTCTCATTAGATAGCCCAGTTTGCAGCTACCCCTGTGTGAAGGGGCCCAAGGTAAAAAATTCTCAATACAAATATCCTGTTAGGTATGTTCTCCCTCAAAACATATGCTGTTGTGGGGTGCTTCCCATCACAGGAAGAAAAGGCCACATTCTTAGTCATTTCCCTCTCAAGTTACTGCTGTTATATTTGCTCAGTCAGAAAGCATGTTGGTAGTATAATCAGATGAGGCTGAATATGGTTCATTGTCTTCTGCCAGAAGTTCTCATCACAGTCCTGTCCTTCTCTTCCCTCATTCCTCCCCAGCACTAAGAGGAACTGAGGGTAAGGGCGTTTTGACTTCATGACTTCAACCAGACCCTTCTTCCTCCTCTTCTCAAGGACCTGGTAGCAAGCCTATTCTACACTCTGGCTCATGTTGACTTCCTGGAAGCTTCCCCAACCTGAGTAATTTGTTTCCAATGTTTTAGTTTGTATGCTCCATTTACTCCTGTTAATCTGCAAGTGCTTGCCTAGTCTGTGAATCTTCTAGGATATAACATTGGACACATCACCTCTTGAGTCATGGGGACAGATCTTTCATTGTATTCTTTAGCAGTTTCTTAATCACCAGGAGGAGCTAAAGAGTTATTTTCTAAGCTAGTAGCACAGATATCTTTTACACTTCATATGATTTCCAGGTAAGATGGCAATTAAAAATAATGCAGGCACAATGTCAAATATACTCAAGCAATTAGAGAAGCAAAAGTTTTCAAAATTCAGCATAAAGAACCAGTTTCCAGGTTCAGAGAATTCCTCCTCTATCATCAGTTGGGATGACTCCAAGCATTTCCCCTACTTTTCTTGAATTTCTAAGTTGTTTTTCTATAAGGCTACTTACTACCCATCCTGGGCATCCCTGGTAGCTCAAACGCTAAAGGATCCACCTGCAAGGCAGGAGACCTGGGTTTGATTCCTGGGTGGGGAATATCCCATGGAGAAGGGAAAGGCTCCTCACTCCAGTGTTCTTGCCTGGAGAATTCCAAGGACAGAGGAGCCTGGTGGGTTAAGAGCCCATGCAGTTGCAGAGTCAAACAGGACTGAGCGACTAACACTATACTACCCATTATAGGACAGCTTTGGAATTCTGCGAAACGATTTAAAAAGCGGAACAATGTGGACAACATGTTTGTAGGTTGGGGTTGGGGTGATATACTCTTAGTGTCTCTGGACTTCTAAGGACTAGATGCATTTATAACCCTGAAAAGGTAACTGACAGGCATATGGTTTTTATTTCATCTAAGAGAGACTTTCAAAGCTACAATGGGCATTGTGAGGATTTGGGAAAAAAAGAAATGTATTAGTAAAAGTGAGAGAAGTGGAAAATATAAACCAAAATCAGGATTCATTTTCATCATGGGAGTCAACTCTTTGAAAAAGACATCTAATAGAGGTAACTGACTCAAAAGCCACACACAGATGTGCTTCTCGGATTGGTGAGCATCTGGAAAGGTGAATTTGGGGAAGATGCTAAAACCCCTACTGCATGTCTGCGTTGACAGGGCCCTGTTGGTAAGTCTACACTTTACCAGATGAATTGTGAACATGCGTGTGTTCTGAACCACAATATTGCCCTTGGAGAATAGTTTGAAATGTGAAGCCTTCTGAAAACCTAACTGCTATGTAATAAGCATGTTTAAGCATCAGTCTTCGGGTACTTATAATTCTGTAATATGAGAATGGGGAAGACAGAAAACGGGGAAGACAGAAAACGGACAAGCAGCAAGCAGAATTTCTATTGACGATGGAGGTCGGTGATGGTAACTGGAGGAAGGGGGGAGTTCACTCTAGTCTTCCGTGCTTAGTTTAGATTTTCCTCTTTTTTTTAAAGAAGTGAGTTTTTATCATAGGAAAAAGAAGTGGGCACTCGTGAAAGGCATTTAGCCCTGCTCCCACATAGTCCAAGCAGACCAGGAGACCCTTCTGCACCTGCCGCATTCTCTGTTTGGGCAAGTCTGTGCATCACTATCAGGAATATGGCTCCCTTCGCAAAGGCTGGCACTGCTGCTCTATGCGTAAATGAGCCCTGTGTATGTCACGTGCCTTTTCAGTCTTTAGCTCCATGATTTAACTCGTCGCGAGGTGCCCTTTCTCCTATCACTTTGTGTCTCTTACGTAGCCAGAGAATTTGGGGCAAAAGCCAAACATATCCACTTAGAGGTAGAAAGACAGATTTGCTCCTAGCTTCAAGATCAAGGAGACTGTGAGCGGCCGTCTCAAGCCCCAGCAGCAAACGCCAGCGGGCGTATCAGCTGGGCGCACGGGGCCCGGGAAACCGCATCCCGGGCAGCCACTCTCGGCGTGGCCAGGGGGATTGGGGGAGTGGCAGATGGACCTCCGCCAGCCTGGTTTCCCAGTCATATTATGCAACAACTTCGCAGCCGTCATCTTCGTCCTAATTGTGTAGTGAACGACAGTACTCGTGCGTTGCGCTTCCCCACCTAGCCAACCCCTCGTTCCCGGCCGTCGCGCTCTCAGTGGAGACGCGCGCGGAGCACTGTAACCGCTGCCTACGCAGCACCCCTGGGCTCTGATCCGCTGCCTGGCCCTCTTCCCTCCGCGGCCCGCCCGGAGTCCTGGCCGCTCGCCAGCGCCCCCCGCCTTCCCTCTCGCCCACCTCCAGGAGGAGGGGTCCTCCCGGAGTGTGCGCGGAGGAGGCGGCGGAGGTCCCTGCCACGCCCCGGCCAAAGAGGCCTGAGGCCCTCAGCCCCGGTACTCGGTCGGCAACAGGTAGGTCGGCCGGCTGCGCGTTCGGGGAAACAAAATGCGCCTCCGCGAGCGAGCGAGGGTCGCTGGGCTCAGGGGGGCACCTCGGTGACCAAGAGGGTGAAGACAGCGGTGAGGGCAGCCGGACGGCGAGGCGGAGGTCTCCGGCCCCTCCCCAGGCTCGCCCCAACCGAGGCAGCCTCGCCGGCCGTTGCGCAACCCTGGAGCGGGACGCGGGGCACGGAGCGCTGGTCCTCCCGGCAATCAGGCGACGGTGGTGACCGCGGCCGGGAAGGGACGCGTCGTGGGGCCCGGCTGTGCGCGGGGCTGGCCCGCGGCTGCGAGTGTGCGCGGGGCATTCATTATATAAACTTTTGCTGCCTTGTCAGGAGGGGACTCGCCACCTTAAGGTGGCTGCTTTGATTGCAGCACTCTCGCTCCGGCACGTAGTCCGGGCTGGCTTGCGCTCCCCCCGCTGCTGTTGCATAATGTCTCCTGATTTCAGGAAAATTGATGTTTTGGTAGAGAAGAGCGCCGGGGAGGCTGAGCCATCTCGTGGGGAAGGGCTGCGCTCTCTCCTTTCTGGTCCCTTCAGTGGGACTGGCGGCGGAGGAGAGGAGGGGGGCTGAGTAGTGGGGAATAGTCTTGATTTTCTCGTTGAGAAAGAGCGTCTGTAGCGTGAACGGTGACGGCATTCAGAGAATGCCTGCGCTGCGTTTGTTTGTGTCCGGGGCTGAGTCTGCACAGACGTTTTCCACCCTGTTTGTCGTCAGCGTGTTTTACCAGCGCTCGGGGAGGTTGTGGGATTTGTCCTTGCATACATTGCATAATCTGCCCACGGTGAAATACTGGCAAGGATTAAGGGTTAATGTGGGAATATGCGCGTACGTGGGCAATGATTTGGTAATTGTAGTGTAGCGTTGGATATTAGATCATTATTTGCCTGTATACTACGTCCCAAACGAAAAGGATTTTTTTTTTTCAACACTCCTACAAAACATAAAAGGAAGAATTCCTCGGGTTGTATTCTGATCTTGGATACTACGCGAGCTCGTCTCTTTGGTGTTCTGAACTATTCTTTTTAAATCTGGGACAAACCATTGTGACGTTCACCTCCCCACCTTCCTAATTTTAATGCATTCCGTTCGATCAGCCCTTTTTTTCACCTTATTGTCATTGCTTTTTCAGACCCGACAAGACAGCACATAATAGTTTCCTGGAAATGTTGCATTATGTAACTGACGAATTTGCTGGCAGTGAGCATAGGAAGAGGGAGCTAATTACGTGATTTTATAATCTTGCTACAAAGAAAGTAGGACAATCTCAGCCTTTAAAATGTCACTGTAACAGTTTTTTAAAAGGATATTTTAAACAAGCAAGTAGACAACTGGATAAGCATTGAGTTTGCTCGTCTTGCCGAATGTGCGTCTCTTGCCCTAAATGAAATGTGCGTTCTTCTAAATTTAGCCCTAACTATCGCATTTTAACAATTGTGGCCTCACAGCGCTATTTCTGGTGTTTTCTCCAGGGCTGTGTGCAAATACAAGTTCAAGGCCATTTGCTGTAGTTTTAACTCCACGCCTTCCGAGAGACCTTTGATAAGATTGTATTTTTAGGAAGGCATTTCGCAGAGCCCGGTGATTTGCTGGATGCTGACTCCCATTTATCTTTTTAAAGGACACTTTAGGAAAGTGCTGTTCCCTGAGAACAGCAGGGGATGACCGAGTGTCATCTTTTGGTCTTGGCTTTTGTAAATAACAGCGAATGAGGCCACAGTATTATTTCTCATCTTTTTTTTTTTTTTCGTCCAGACCAGATATGATTTATGGGAAACAGATATAGGTTAGTAGATTGTATTTTTTTTAATGGATGTCCCAGTTTTATTCATGTGAGAATTATGTGACTATGTAATATACTCAAGATTTTAAATTTATTCCTGGACTCTTATGTAGTGGGTGTGTGAATATATGTGTATTGATGGTGTGTATATGTCAGATTGTTTTCCCCTAATGTAATAGTAAAATAATTAAAGAGCAGGGTTGTGGAGGGTTTTTCAGGGCGGGAAGCGGGCAGAGAACGGGACAAAGATTACAGAGATTCATCTCTGGAACAAATTTATTGCCCCAAGTAATTGCAGTCGCTTTCCTAGAAGCTAATATTGCTCCGGGGCCCCAGTGTCAGACCCCCGACCTACTCTGGAGCTCGGGTTGGGAGCCCCGGGTCTGCAGGGGCCGCGTAGCGCCACCTTCCGATCGCGACCTTAGGGGTGCTCCCTGCCTCCCAGCGCGCTCCTCCCAACTGCGGCCCCTGCGGATCTGGGGATGGGGGGGATGTGGGGTGGCGGGCGCGGACCTCGGTCAACGGCAGGGAGCGCCCTTGGGCGGCGCTTGGACCAGGGCTGCTAGGCGGCCTGCGCTCCTCCTTCTCGCCCCCTCCCCACATTCCTTTGTTCTGGCGCGGGGGTCTAGGCTGCACCGCTGCGCCGCCCACCCGGCGGGGGTGAGGGACCGTCCGCGGCCGGGGAGTGCGGTGCTCCCTGGGTTCTCTTGGGCGGAAGGAGGGAAAGGGGAAGGGAGGAGGGAGAGAGAAGAGGGCAGCTGGAGCTGGGGGAGCGGAGCCGGGCGAGCTGGAGGGACCCAGGGTGAGGCCGCTCCGCGCGGAGAGGGCTGCCCGGCCGGCCGCCTGAGCGTTTCATCGCTGCGGCCCGGGCTGCTCCAGGGGCCTGTGTTCTTGCTTTTTTTGCGCGCAGAGCTCCTGAGCACCGCGGACACCTTTGTTCGAGAAGGCGTCATTGTGTGTCCTAGAGGAGCGCTTCCGATTCTTGTAAAATGAAAAAAGACCTAAGAAAACCACCAGTGTCAACAGACGGCAAAAATTGGGGGTGGGATCGCTTCAGTATTGATGATAATGACGAGGACCCCAATTTGACTGTCAAGTATATATATATATATTTTGTGTCGGTATATATATATACTGAACATTAGTTATGTGGCTAGAGTAGAGAGAACTCGAATTCCCCGGAGTTAAATATTTTAAAAAATCACAACACTTGTGTGGATGGGATACCGCTGTCCTGCTGAGTAAGACTACGGTACTTTCATCCTGGCAATAGGTCTTCTGAGACCGTGCTTATGCAATAAATCGCAGTAAATTCAGGGCAGCGTCACAATTCTCTAAAAGCCATCAGCGAGAAGTGCATTGTTTAAAAAGTTGGCTTCTATGGGATCAAATCCTACACCCCCGTCCCTAATGGTTTCTCTCTTGAGTTTCAGGCAGGTCAGTAGCTAGGAAACGGTGAAGTGCTACCTAGGAATACAGGCTCTGGGCTCAGAAGAGCTGGGTCCCAGGCCCTAGTTTTGGGCACTGCCCTGATCGGCCTCCGAGGTAAACTGAGGGAATAAAACCTGTTTATTTAGCTGGAGAGTTGTGGGGAGCTCAGTAAATTCTTCCTGTCTAAGTGACTAAGTGACCAGGAAGCAGCTATATGTGTGTGTGTGTGTGTGTGTGTATGTATGTATTTTAATATTCATCTTTATTTTTCACTGCCTAAGTCTCTGTGCAATAAGGGTTGAAGTTTGAACTAAGCCTAAAGATTCTTCTTGAAATACTGTGCTTTTGTTGTTCTAATAGTGATTAATTTTTTTCTCAAAACTATTTGCTATTTCATTCAATGGTAATTTTAGTTTGAAGAAAATTCTGGACAGGATTGCAGAACCTCATACTTCCCAAGTCATTAGGTTAATGTTTGGGGGAACTGTTTAAAGGAACAGAGAGAGAGGTGAGTTGATGGTAGCATTAATGGTGTAAAAAGGGCCAAACAGCTGTCTTTTTCCAGCTCCCTTGACTTCTTTTGATGGTTTTCCTGGGCCTGGATAATCTCTGCATCTACAATTCCAGTCTGAGATCACAGACTGGTTAGACCTCACAGATGAGCTATCCTGGGAGGAAGTGTGTCCCTCCTGTATGGTTAAAACCCTAGGATATGCCCCATGAAACTGTCAGTGGTTGACCTATTAACGTAGAATTAAATTTCATTTGGTTTATCCTTGTAACATAGAACAATGCTTCACTAAGAATTACGAGAGGCAAAAATTAGGCCTAGAACTAATCATAATCATTGCCTTGCTGCTGCTTATTCTTCGGAAATGAGATGATGAGTGAGTATTTACTAAACATGTACCCTGCTTGTGCCAGGCACTCTGTTGACTTGTTCTATTATCATCCCCATTTTAGACTTAAGAAAGTGGACCTTAAGAGAAATTGATTAGCGGTCCAGGCCAGGAACCTGAAAAATGGGTTTGCGAGGGAGGGAGGCTCTGTCTCTGTCCCTTCCCTGAGTATGAGTGCAAGCTCACTGGAGTTTTTGAAACAATTTCCTTTTCTGTGTGAAAGACTTATCTTTGCTAAGTGCAATTATAACATCACTATGATGCAACAACCTGAAAATTAAAACCCTTTGTTTGGGCCCTTTCCCATGTTGAGCAACGTGCTTGACTCACCAGCTGAGTGGATATTTCTAGTTGACCTTGCTTTGGTCCATAGAGTCAGTTCCGAGACGTGAATGTGATTACAGCATAGAATGGAAAAGGTGCAGTCATATTGCCGAGGCTTTATTTTTACCCAAGTAAAATCACACATACTTCATTATTTCCATTGTAATCCAGATGGCATTGATGCTGTTCAGAGTTGTTTATTTTTAATTTGTATTAAGGAATGAGAGCACACTTGGGATTCGATTCAAAATATGACAGAAACAATGTAATTGAAGTTTCCTTTAATATTCATTTCTTGTTTTCGTAAGGTATGCCTGTATTTCACAGGGTTAACACATTGTTTGATATCCTGTTATTTTTCTAAATTACATTTGAGTTGATTTTTATCCAGATTGGATTTGTGTGAGAATGTCGAAAGACATTGACCTTTGATCACAGACATTACATAAGAGCTTTTCAGTTTCAAAATGAAGTTATATTACCACCACCCCCAATTATCTCTCAAATGTCATTACAAATAACTTTCTTGTAGTTAGAAAAACACTGTTTCTCATATGGTTTTAATTAGAGCATGCTCGCTTGTTTTTATGATAAGAAAGTTTAGTAGAGATTTACTAGATGCCTTTCGTAATAATCTGCGCTTTGAGCATTCATTTTCATTGGAAGCAGAATGATGTTTATAAGCCTTTTAGTTCTCAGAACATGGTGTCTTTTATTAATTAACTTTCTAGGGATCTAAAACTGGAATTAAGTAGCCTTCAAATAAACACCAAAAATAAACGTTTAAAATAATCTGTTCTACTCATGAGGCACACAGTAAATGACATTTGTAATCGTCTGCTCACTGGGAAAGAAAGTGAACAAGAAATTAAAAAGTCAAGCTGAGGAAAATTGGAATGATTCCTCAGTTTAATTAGGAACATTCAAAACCTTGCCCTTTCATACCCTTTTCTCACCCAGCCGTGCACGCACCCTGTTTTCCCCATCATTGCCACATGTTGCATGTATTCTGGCATTACTTACCTGTTGCAGAAATTTCCTATAACTGGGTTACTTCATGATTATTGGTGTCCCTTAGGATTTCAGATTAGTTGCTAGTTAATGAGAAGTTATCTTTTTGAAAGTTTCAAGAAAGCAAATGGTCCCCATTTTGAAGTGACTGCAGATGTTTTTGTTGTTGTTAATTCGTTAGTATTTCATCACCCCCACCCTTCCAGTTCCCCTCCTTTGAGCCTTGAAGTTGGTTGTGTTAGCATCTATGCATTTACCCCCAGCAGTCTTCAGAATATTTTCATTAAGAGTTCGGTTAAAATTGTGGACACTTTTTATTTTTTTTAAAAAAAGGTTATACTATACTATTTCATATTTCAATCCCATAAATTATATCAGTGCTATAGTAAAAGGCAATGTTGTCATTGTATTTATTAAGTTTAAATCTAATTTTCAAGTAGCCCTATGTTGAGGATGAGAGAGCAAGGAATTTGAACTATTTTCATTTATCATAAACTTTCTCTGGTTTTGACACATTCATTTACAGAAGTACCCGAATAGAAAATGTTGGTCAGTGTGTTGCTATGATTGGATAGATTTTGGCAGAGTGTGAGAATCTGTTTATGTGTGTATTCATATCTTGATCAAGTGTACATTTCTCTCTGACTTCAGGGTTGAAGTCTCTGTTACTAGAGACAGAATTATATTATTAAGGGGAGGCATTTATGAGGTTTAACATAGTTTTCTTAATTGAAAAAAAAAAAAACATTTTTTAGCCTTATTAGAAGATCCTTGTGCAACTTCAGTGTTTCCACAGTTTTTTCATCTCCCACCCCCAGATTTTATTTTCATCCATGAAAAGAAGGTAAAGCATTTTATTGAAACAATCACATCATGGATTTTATCCACAGGAAGAAGATGTAGGTTAATATTTGCTAGTATTACTAGTTTAAAGAACTGTGAATTGATTCATTAACTTTATCTTTTTTTACTAAAATGGCACTTATCTCAAAAATAAGCAGTTGTCTTCCTAGTGGGGAGATGTAGTTTAACATAAAGGATTTTTTTTTCTTTAATGGTATCTATACTATATCTCTGAGAGTGTAAACAGTACATTCAGAGAGTACAGGAAAAATGAGGTGATTCTGTCAAAATATTTCCAAATCATTGGGCATATCAAATAGTATTTCATCTTGTATTGACAGAATGTTAAAATCAGAGTATAGAATAGAAGCAATTTGCAGTCTCTTTAAAGAGATAATAAAATTTTCTCATAGTAGATTTTAATGTCTAAGCTATTAGTCAGATTTTAGATGCTTGAAACAAAATGTTTCTTTTCTTGTTTTGTAACTAGTTTAAATTGTCCACTAGTTTTCCCTGAGAGATGTGTTAGAGGCCAGGGAAGATACAGGTCATAAGGTCCCTCCTCAAAAAGAAATTAGGGCTAGAATTTGTGTTGCACAGCTTTATTTCTTTAGAGAATTTTCTAAACCAAATTTAATCTTAATTAAAAACAATATTTAGGTCATCTGACTTAAGTAGAATTTTAAATTTGGACTTACGAAACAACTCCTGCCTGTAGAAATCTTGTGATGTACTATGAAAAAGCATTAATTAGCAGTGGTACGTCCGTGTTAGTTGTGGGAAAATATGTCATTGGAATGTGATGACTCCTGCTCTTAAATTTCTCTTTTTATTTGTGTTTTTAAGAAGCAGCCATATTATCTGATGGGTGTAATGAAACTGATCGTGCTGAACACACCAGCATCATAGAGTTGGCATTCAGTGTCAATTACTCCCCAGAAAGGAAACTAGCGGTGACTGATATAACACAGCATTAGTGGTGATCTGAAAACTTGAGGCAGAGGTGAAATGACTGTTAAATTAATCATAAGGGAAAACACTGGAATCTGAAATAAAGGTATTAGTTGAGAATAAATACTGATGTTTTTAGAAAGCACTGCAATCTACCTTTGCATGCTCTTTAAATTTATTGTTGAAAGGCACAGATAGATTCTCTCCCCTCAATATCTCTACCATCTAGTGCTGCATGATCTTGGGAAAGTCGCACAGTCTTTCTGTGTTTTAACTGTACCCTATCCCCATGTTGAAAATGGATATATTTTGGGTTTGTGGGGGGGTGGGGAATTGCAGGTGACAGTGCCAACAGCTGTAACTTTCCTTTTCTTCTAATTATTTTTAGCATATAGGGTTGCCAGGAGATTAAAATTTTAGAGAGAGATGAAAATTTAGAATGCTTTCTCAATTCATTAAATAATCACAGGATATAAAACAACTCTGAGGAAGAGGGGGAAAAGTTCCAGATGGAACTTTATCTGCAACAAAGTTCCTTTGTTGTCTTAAAGAAGTTCTGGCAACATCTAATAGTGCTTTGCTGCCCCCAAATCACTTAGTAAATGGATATATATTACACTTAAATAGAAGAACAGAACTGAGAATCTTAGCTCTTCCACTCAACTAGCTGTGTGACACTGGGCCAGTTGCTTAACTTCTCCCAGCCTTAGTTTTCTCATCTGAAAGTGGTTATTATTGTGAGGGCAGTGAAATAATCACAGGCCAGGCTCAGGGTGCCTGTTGCATAGTCAGTATTGAGTAAATGGCACCTGTAATGATTGTTTTTATTGTCACCATACCAAGAAAAAAGCAGCGTGGCTAGAAACAACATGATACGTACACTGACTCCCCATGTTGGCAGTGTTCCGACCACACCTGTGGATGAGTACAGTGCTCATCTGTATTCATGAGCCTGTCTCTCACCAAAGACCAAGGGGTGCCTTGATTCTTGGGAGTTTGATTCTTCCTTCCTTCTTTATCTTCCCCAAGTCTGGCTCAGTGCCAGAGTAGGTGCTCCATATCTGTTGCATAAAACAAGTAATGAATAAGAGAAGTTCTCTCTTATTAAGTAGAACAATCTTTTTTAGAATTTATGTAATAATATCAAATATAAAAGAATGTATCAGCAAGTTTTTGGTCACAAAGCTCTCTTATGTAAGGCAAATAAGTGTCAGTCAAATGGCGAGCACCTAAGAGGTTCAGTTTGTTGCTAGGATACCAATATATTAATTTGCTCCCTGAACTAATCGGCATTCTAGTTGGGCATACAAAACAAACATGTAGGAAGATACACATTGTACAAAATCACCACCTCTCTCTACAGTATCTCGAACTGCTAATAAATTCTTTTCAACACAGCAAAGTTACTTGATAAATAATATTACAGAAAATACCCTTATGTAGTATGTGGTGATTTGCTGGTGGAATCATAGAAGCAGTTATTATGTGCAGATGAGGGAAGAATCCAGATTCTAGTATACCTAGGGAAATTGAAATTGGAAGATTAACTGAAAAGAAATGAGATTTTTCTGCAGGTTTTGAACATACCAAACAAAGTTACAGAGATGAAAAAGTGGACATACAGTACTTAGACACATAGAAGTGGGTTAAGAGATTTTAGGACAAGTGAGATATTTTTGTTAAACAGAAGTAGGATTATTTTCTCTATGCAGTGTGGCAAGGGCTGCCTGCCTGCCCTTACTCACACTAGACTCAGCGTGATTCTTTGGAACAGAAGATTGAGATCAGAGTCTCAACTCACTCAACATAGGTTTGAAATGATGAAATGGATATGAAATGATGAAAGAATGAAAAGTTTAGAAAGAGTAATATAGATGGAATGGTGGGGCATTTCAAAAGCACAACTGCAACAATTCATAGTTGAGATGAAATGCAGAAGAAATTTAATTTTCTTCCAAGGAAGGGATAAATTAAAAAATGCATGGAAGAGAAAGAGTCTCAAGTGAAAAAAATACTCAGAATGATAGTGTGCAAGGAAATACATAAGTAGTACCTGGGGATACAGTGGAGATTTGAAATGCATCTTGGAAAAGTTCAATATAGTTGTCCTCCTGGAGTTGGAATTTTTACTCTTGCTTCAGCATTCATTTGATTTTAGTGGGGAGGACTTAACAGATTTAAGAAATACAAATTATTGACAGAAGGAAATAATCCATTCATTATGTAGAGGGAAAAGTTTTCATAGCAGACCAAGAAATGTTGAGTGCAAATATAGGAAGTAGTGTTGTTTACTAAGTGATAACTAGGAAGCTCCCTTTCTACACCATCACTGCCTGCTATGGCAGACTCCTTGCCTTCATTTCCCACTAAAATATATTATCAAAGACAAACAGAAGCTCAGTATTCATAATCATTAAATTTTGCTGAGTTGCAACTCACTGTTTGCATTGGCTCAGTTTGGACGAAAATGACGAAAATGTGGCATTAAACCTTATCCTTGATGATCCTGAAATGATTACATCATTCCTTCTATTCCTTCTGGAAAAGACACAAGAAGCTGGCAAGCTTTTCCAACTGATAAAATTAAACCATTAGTCAATATAAAACTATGCACAAGAAAGAAAGAGGGACATGAAAACATTCAATCTTTCTAATGGGGCAGGAGAGGTGCCATATACAGATAGTGCTGAATGAACAGTTGTTTTACCGTATCTCCTTCATGAAAATATTACCTACTGGAAAACTACGCAGAGAAACCCTGTCCAGAAACACAGGTCCGAAACCACCATGAAAAGATTGTTATTGGAACCTGATATGGATTTATTATCTCCTGTCAGGCCAAATTCAGATTATAAATTTGTCATCAATGGAAAAGGAAGCTAGTTGATAGTCCTGTTTTCAAGTTCTTATATTTTGTTTGAAACTAATTAGTAAAATGGAAAGAAATTCTTTCCATAATTACATCTTCTCAGTTTAAAATAATTTTAAGTTTCAAGAAGGCACTTTACTTAAAAAAAAAAAAAATCCCTTAACCATTTATTTTAGGCTGAAGCTACTCTATCAGTGAAATCTATTATGACAGAATTATCAGGACCAAAAAAGGTATTGTAGATGCTACAACCTTAAGTGAATGTTTGATAAATCAATTTGAGGGAACCAGGGGGGAAAAACAATTTTCTCATAGCACAAATGCGTCAGAGACAGCTTTATTGAGAAGAGTCCTTTTCAGGTGTGCTGAGTCACTTGGCAGAATGACCGTGACATAAACCACGTAAGAATTAAACAACCACAACTCAGTTGTTTGTGTGACTTTTATATTCGTTTTTGTGGAAATAAAAATCTAGCTCCATTTCTGTTTGATTCCATATAATTACAGAGTCTGTCTACTGACATTAAAAGGGTTTACTTGGAAAAGTTCCTTTTATGAGGTGAACTGGTTTGCTTGGCAGTCATATAAATGCTATCTAAAGGTATTCAGAAGCCCCACAAGATGCAAGTACTATTTAAAAATGCACTAACCAGAGGCGATCTGTCATTTCCTTCCTGTAATGTCCTATCCCCACATGCCCCACCCCACTATTTTTTCTCCTGAAACACAGCCGCCTTCTATTTCTCCCCAGGGCAGATCTGTTCTTTTCTCTCACTCCCCTGGACCACATATTCCCCTGCTGACAGTTCTCAGTGGGGACTGTCCTTTACAACTTTACAGTATAGGTATTTCGGTACTTACTTTCTTTTCATGGTTGTAAACTCTTTGAAGGACAGAACTATTGCCCCTCAATGCTTCGTGTAGTTTCTTGTACATAGCTGGTAATAAATATTTACCAAATGGATAACTGTTTCTCTTTGTGTATTGCAGGTCATCTAGAAGACCCCTACTTCATTCAGTGAGAGGAGCAGGAGAGATTTATTCTGGATCATAGAACAAAAGGAAGAACATTGATGGATTTTAAACTGCAGTTTTTAAAGCACTTGAGAATACTGAGGAAATAACTTCTTCTCCTGCACTGCGTATATAGGTTAAGGTGGTTTCTGATGCAGCTGAGAAAAATGCAGAGCATCAAGAAGGAGCAGGCATCTCTTGATGCTGGTAGCAGCGTGGACAAGATGATGGTGCTTAATTCTGCCTTGACCGAAGTCTCCGAAGACTTGACGACAGGGGAAGAGCTCCTTCTCAATGAAGGAAGTGTGGGGAAAAACAAGTCCTCAGCATGTCGGAGGAAACGGGAATTCATTCCCGACGAGAAGAAAGATGCCATGTATTGGGAAAAGAGGCGGAAAAATAATGAAGCCGCCAAGAGGTCCCGGGAGAAGCGTCGACTGAATGACCTGGTTTTGGAGAACAAACTCATTGCACTGGGAGAAGAAAATGCCACTTTAAAAGCTGAACTGCTTTCCCTAAAATTAAAGTTTGGTTTAATTAGCTCAACAGCCTACGCCCAGGAGATTCAGAAACTCAGTAATTCTACAGCTGTGTACTTTCAAGACTACCAGACTTCCAAATCCACTGTGAGCGCCTTTGTGGATGAGCATGAGCCCTCGATGGTGGCTAGCAGTTGCATTTCTGTCATCAAGCACTCTCCTCAGAGTTCTCTGTCTGATGTTTCAGAAGTATCCTCGCTAGAACATTCACAGGAGGGCCCTGCGCAGAGTGGCTGCAGAAGCCCAGAAAGCAAATTCCAGCTCATCAAGCAAGAGCCGATGGAACTGGAGAGCTATGCCAGGGAGCCCAGAGATGACCGGGGTGCCTACCGAGGGGCTGTGTATCAGAATTACATGGGGAATTCCTTTCCCGGATACTCGCACTCTCCCCCTCTGCTGCAGGTCAACCGGTCCTCCAGTAACTCTCCGAGGACATCGGAAACTGATGAAGGTGCAGTAGGAAAGTCATCCGACGGAGAAGATGAGCAGCAGGTTCCCAAGGGCCCGATCCACTCTCCCGTTGAACTTCAGCGTGTCCACGCCACAGTGGTTAAAGTTCCAGAAGTGAATTCCTCTGCTTTGCCACACAAGCTTCGGATTAAAGCCAAAGCCATGCAAATAAAAGTGGAAGCCTTCGATCATGAGTTTGATGGCACGCAAAAACTTTCCTCGCCTGTTGACATGACGTCTAAGAGACATTTCGAACTCGAGAAGCATACCACCCCCAACCTGGTACATTCTTCTCTCACTCCCTTTTCAGTCCAAGTGACTAACATTCAAGATTGGTCTCTCAAATCTGAACACTGGCATCAAAAAGAACTTAATGGCAAAACTCAGAGTAGTTTCAAAACTGGAGTGGTGGAAGTGAAAGACAGTGGTTACAAAGTCTCTGACCCAGAGAATTTGTTTCTGAAGCAGGGGATAGCAAACTTGTCTGCAGAGGTGGTCTCACTTAAAAGACTTATAGCCACACACCAAATCTCTGCTTCAGACTCTGGGTAAAATTACTACTGAACAAGCTCTGGGCCTTTAGAGATGCATTTGCAATAGATGAGTACGTTTTGTATTAGGCTGAATTTTCACTGGACCTGTGATGTCATTTCACTGTATAACGTTCACATGTTGTCTGTTGGGTGTCTTTTTGTGCACAAATTATTATGAAGATTAGACTGTGTTATCACTCTGCCTTGTGTATAGTCAAATAGTCCATCGCAAAGGCTGTATATATTGAACATTATTTTTGTTGTTGTATTATAAAGTGTGTAAGTTACCAGTTTCAATAAAGGATTGGTGACAAACACAGAACTTTCGCTCCATTGCACTTAGTTTTATGGGAAAGAAAGCAATATAAGTTACAAAAGTAGATACTGTATTAAGATACTTTGCATTTTACTTATTTGGGGGAGTTTTCTCCCATCTATAGTAAATGAAAGTCACTCAGTCATGTCTGACTCTTTGTGACCCCATGGACTGTAGCCTGGCAAGCTCCTCTGACAATGGAATTCTCCAGGCCAGAATATTGGAGCGGGTAGCCGTTCCCTTCAGGGGATCTTCCCAACCCAGGGATCGAACCCAGGTCTTCCACATTGCAGGTGGATTCTTTACTGTCTGAGGGAAAACTAAAGCATAAGTTCAACACATAATTTTCTTTTTCTAGTTTGGTCCTTTTTCTAGTTTGAAAACCTTCCATAGGAGGAGAGTAGAGAAAAGGGGGTGGGGAATGCATTTTCTTACATTTAAGACTAGTAATTTACTAAATTACTCCCTGTTATATATTTTTCTTTAAGGTTTCATTTTCTGTATCCTTTTTGTTTTTAAGTAGAAAAATCCAAGTTGTTTAGCATCAGCATGTCTTTAGTTATCTCTTTTAAGTATGACACATGGAAGTGAATAGTTGAGTCATCGACCCACTTTGTTATTTAGAGGTTCTATTAAAAGAGTGGATTAAAGACTAAGGATGAGGTCATTTTTATGTTATTGTAAATCTTAACAGTTCCAGAGTATAACAGTCTAGGAAATTAAGCTAGTGAAATACTATTTTTACTTAGTTTCCAAAATTTCAAAGAACATATCAATGATCGCATTTCACCATATTCAACCTGAGTATATGTAATGACTTGGCTTTTTACAGTTTGTTAATGGTGACTATAAATAATAGCTCCAGTTTGGAAACTATATTATAGAAGCCCAGAAGAAAGCATCATTCTAAGTAAACCAGTGACAAGATCATGACTGATGATTTGTTCAGGATCCTCAGTCATCCCATAGAAGTAAGTGTCCTTAATTACAGACAAGTGTGTCTTCTGTTGCACAGTGGGACTGGCTTCTGGGTGGGGGGAAGGGGTGAGTGGATGTCGGTTAAGAATAGCTTTCTCCAGAGCTGTTCTCCTCACCAAAGCCCTCTCCAGAACTGTTCCCACACTGCCTTCTTTTTCATCGTAGAAGTATGTGTGTATGGTGGGGGTGGGGACATGGGCTGGGGGTCTTGAGGCTTCATAATACATGTGCAGGATGACTTAACCCTCATTCTGTTACCATATCTCCTGGTGGCACCTAGCAAGAGCCCAATTACAACATCCCAGTTTAGAGGCCTTTTTGACTGCCTGATTTTTAGTCTTTTAAACTTCCTACACTTTTATATTTTAAAAAGAGATCCTTTGAGTTAAAGGGAATGCTGGGACACACACACACACCATCCACTTGGTCCTTTTGGACACAGTGACCAGTTTCCTCTGAAATCTGACGCTTAGGGAATGTGTTGCCAGTCTCAACCCTTGGACTTGTCTTTTCAGCAGTTTTTAGTGACTGGATGAGGCCCAGAGGGACACCTATATCATCTGCAAATGTTACAGGGCAGAGGAGGGTTAAGATACTGGATGGTAGTCGACATCCAAAAGCATTTCACAGCCTAGAATGGATGGAATGACTATAACAACATGAATCAAAATAGGACAGGGTGTAAAGTCAGGTTCCTGTGTTAAGTGGGAAAACAAAAGGCTGTCCAAGTCCACAGCTAGGGAGAAAACAATAACTACATATGGAAGGAAAAAAGCTTTAGTTCCCTTCAGTACGCCCAGTGGAGTGCTGGGTTATGTCAACACAGTGTCCAAACAAAGAGACAGCAGTCCTGCTGTCCTGGGGACATGCCTGCCAAGAGATTCAGTAGTAGACTCCCAGGGAGATTCTGCAGCCATGAAATAGACAATATTAAAAAAAACTCTTGATAAATTGCTCCCAAAAGGGGTGAACCATAGACTGTGGTACTTACTGTAAGTGTCCAAGTGGATAATAGCAAAAAAGGTAAATCTTGAGTTGTTTTCAGGAAGAATTGAAATGTGACTGTCAGATCAGGGGCAAAGCAGCCTGCCTACCTGAGGCTATGTTACCTCCCCTGTGAACTGCTAACGTTAGCTACTGTGGTAACTATGTTGCATCTGGATGCCCCCCTCCCTAGTCATTTTGTCTTATAACTGCAAGCATCTAAGATTCGATGGACATGAGTTTGGTGATGGACAGGGAAGACTGGCATGCTGCAGTCCATGGGGTCCCAAAGAGTTGGACACGACTGAGCGACTGAACTGAAGACATGGCTAGGATGATATTTAAAATGGTACTTCTTAAGCATAAAGGAGGACAACAAGGACCTATTGTACATGGAACTCTGCTCAATGTTAACATAGATGGGAGGGGAGTTTGGAGGAGAATGGATGTATTTATATGTGTGGATGAGTCCCTTCACTTTTCACCTGAAGTTATCACACTGTTAATCAGCTATGTGCTATGCTTAGTCGCTCTGCTGTCCATGGGATTCTCCAGGCAAGATTATGGAAGTGGGTTGTCATGCCATCCTCCAGGGAATTTTCCCAACCCCGAGACTGAACCCAGGTCTCCCACATTACAGGGGGGGTTCTTTATCATCTGAGCCACCAGGGAAGCCCAAGAACACTGGAGTGGGTAGCCTATCCCTTCTCCAGGGATCTTCCTGACCCAGGAATCGAACCGGAGTCTCCTGCATTGCAAGCGGATTCTTTACCAGCTCAGCTACCAGGGAACCCCTAATTGGCTATACCCCAAAGCAAAATTGGAGAAGGAAATGGCAACCCACTCCAGTGTTCTTGCCTGGGGAATCCCAGGGATGGAGGGGCCTGATGGGCTGCCGTCTATGGGGTTGCACTGAGTCAGACACGACTGAAGCGACTTAGCAGCAGCAAGACAAAATGAAAAGCTTAAAAAAAATAAAGGTTGAATAAGCAATTCCAGGCTCACTAGGAACCAAAGAGAGATCAAGTCAGATACCACTGTGATACTTCTGCTCTACAATGTCAGCTGAGGAGATGCTACCACTTTGTCCCACTCACAAGGTTCAAAACAGTGATATAAAATGTGTTTAAAGCCAAATGAATCTATGTGTGCTAAGTCGCTTCAGTTGTGTCTGACTCTTTGTGACCCTATAGACTGTAGCCTGCCAGGCTCCTCTGTCCATGGGATTCTCTAGGCAAGAATACTTGAGTGGATTGCTATTTCCTACTCCAGGGGGATCTTCCCGATCCAGGGATCAAACCCAGGGATCTCATGTCTTCTGCATTGCCAGGTGGGTTCTTTACCACTAGTGCCACCTGGGAAGCCCAATAAGTCTCTGACTATACTCAAAAAGTAAGAGAGGGAAGCCCCAGACACCAACATTCTTAGGAATTCCCAGAAAGATGGCTATCAGGCAGGAAGTGGCAGCCAGGAGAACACAGAGGCCCCATGTCAATCACTGGCCACAGAGCAGAGAGAGGGAAGCCTGAATGGTCAGCAGTGGAGCTAAGGGGGAGGCTGCAGCAGAAACGACTGGATTTCCCCTCCACCTGCCCAGGAGGAGGTGAGCAAGGAGTGTGGTGGGTGGGTGGGGCAGAGTCAAGACAGACAGGCAGTGTCTCGGGGCCAATGTGTAGAACACAGATACGTGTGTCCTCGGTAGCCTGCCTACTGCACACCCCTCCTGTGTTCAGCAATATCTCATCATTATTGTGCCCACTTTATAAAGGAAAATACCTGGACTCTCAGAGCTTGACTTGCCAAAATTTCTCATAGCAGCCAGAACCCAGGCCCCACAGGACCAGGACAAGGCAGGCCAGCCAAATATCATCTGACACTTTAGTTTTCCCCTAAAATAATCCAGGGAGATGAGACTAGAGAGTCTCTAATCTGCAGCAAAGAAGGGGGGAATCTAAGGAGGTGTCTAAGCTGTAAGTGCCCTTTCTTTGCAAATTAGTGGAAGTGCTATGTAAACATCTCCTTTTGTGTGACATCATAGTTGTGTAATAACTCATTTTCATCTTCAAAGAGCAAATATTCCCGAAATAAAAACCAGTAACATCTGGGTAGGTCTAAAGAACCATGTTAGATTTTTTTAATGGTAGCTATTGAGCTCGTTTTTGAAAACTAAAAATTATTTCCCAAAAGTGGGAATCACTAGCAGCACCCACTTTATTTATGTGTGTGTATATGTGTGTGCCTGTGCGTTCATGCACATTGTGGGGCAGGTGCTAGGGCTTGTTTAGGAAGTAGTACAACCACTGGAGTGACATTATAGTGTCCACAAACTACTCACACCAGGAAAATTTAAATAAGGAATACTCGAGTTTCCAGCGAAGATCGAGAAATAAAGAGAATTTAGAATTATGAGTTGCAGTTGAATTAGAAATGTAAACTAGGATGTCTTATGGGAGGGTGAAGGAAAATATGACTAGTTTAAAGACTTTGGCAGCATTTTCTGCAGAGCTAGCTTTTCCTGATTCTAATGAATATAAGGGGAAAAAATATTCAAGAACTAATGGAGGTAAGTGGGAGCAGTCTTGGCAAAGGAGAACAGGTAATATTAGATGCTGACAACATTACTTAAAAGTCAGGAGGGCATGCCACTATCTCCACTGAGTCATGATGGAGATTGCCAAGGTGTGATTGCTATTGTTGAATATTGATAGTGTTACTGGCAACAAATAGAAGTACTTCATAAAATAAACTAAGCAAAGTAACCCAGACAGATACCACTGCCATTTTTTATATTTCCATTTTGTCAGCCTTGCCATGTGAGGAGGAAAAGGTTACTTTGGTGAAAGTGCTTGAATAAAGTTCCAAGTCTGGAAGTCAAGAATAAGACCCACTTGAAAGTGCACATGAACAAAATTCTGAAGATCGGAAAGGAGAGGAAGAGCATTCAGTAACAATACATGCTGATTTAACAAAAGGGAGAATAGCAGAAACCTCAGAATGAACTGTCCTTGAAGTGAGCAGATATTTCAATGTAACAAGTTTTCCTA